GAAACATTAAGGTATGAAACAATGGGTCCACTTAAGCTAATGGTGGGACATTAACAGGAGATCGGTAATAGTTAGTAAGAAAATAAGATATGTATGCCTAGCCCCAGGTAAACTTATCGGTTCTGCTTCCTTTTGTTATCTTGTTAAGTTTGTGCCCTTTTATCTGTATAAATAAGATAGTTTGAGTCTTGCATGGTGCTCACATTATCTGGGTGTATTAGCAGAGCATTTTGCTAAAACAGAGTGGTCTGACAAATTGTGAGTCCTGAGTCTGACTTTGACACAAGTAATAGCATAAAACGGAGTTAAATGGGCAATGTTATTTTGAATTTGTAAAACTGCAGTGTTACTCCTTACATGTTTCTGTTTTGGATGGCAAATGTGTAAGCAATATTAAAAAAAAAAAAAAAAAAACAAGCTAATGAAATGTAGTTACTGGTAATGGAGCACAGTAAAATAGCTTAGAATTGAAATTGAAGAATGCTATAGCCAGTTGAAACAGTCACATTTGAGGAAGAGTGCAACCCCACGCTGGACTATGACAAGGGCATTGTGTTAACATCCCTCTTTTGGAATAAAGTGCTGTGTGATCTTCAATGACCACAAGTGATCAGGACATTGGTTTTAAGTTTTTATCCAAACACATGCCATTTGCAGCAGCACTGCGCCCTCTAACATCTCCCTGGGGCATTGATTTAGTATGGACTCAGAGCAGGGAATGCTGCTACCTATTATATCATCAGCACTTATGCGTCGGCTGTTGAGTCTTGCTTTTTGGGGTACTCTCAGATTCCTAACTAACCTCTATGATGGAATAAAATATATACAACATATTATAAATGTCTCTGTTCATTTCTGTTCGATGTTGGCAGATGGGAAACGTTCACGTTAAAGGCTAATGTAGTGCACCGAAGACTGCCTGAGCCAGGCAAATAATCCACATTAATGATGATGTCCAATGCAATAGGTAAACACAGACTTGGAAACCCTTTGGGCAAAATTCAGCCTTGATGGAAGTGGGTGTCACTCTGATTGAAAGATTTGGCCTACTGAGGTACTTCTCTCTCATACACAAATGCATTGTGGTACCATTTTAGTAAACCGTATGCAAAATACTTCGCATGCCCTGTTGCTTCTTCTGGGAATACAATTGCGTTGTACCTGGATAAAAGAGCTGGAGGTTTGGAATAGGGTTGTCGCACTGCTGTAAAAGAGATCTATTGCATACATTTTTCTAAGGTCAGTATTGTCTTTTTGTAAATCAAAGGATGAGGGGAAAAAGAAAGGAGATGGAAATTAGTTGCTTTCAGACTGTAAACCAGGGCTGAAGTTGGCCCATTGGGGTGACATGTTTGATGTGGAAATGGGAGTTGTCAGAACATCACTGGTAGGATGGTTGTCAACCAATGATTACTTGGTGTGCCTGGTGACTGCCAAAGTTGGTATCAATTAAAACTGGCAACAGCAGATTTTTCTCTAACCACAGACAGTGTCTGTTAACACTTCAATAATAATTATACATTAGCTCAAATTCAACAACGCAAGTTCATATTATTTTACAGTTTTTACTCAGTCCTGACTTGTGTAAACCTCCCAGCAGGGTACAAGTCCAGGGAGCTCCTGAGCACCTGCCTCTTTCATTACTCCCAGTGAGAGTCACAGGTACCCAATAGTTCTCAGGGTTTGGCCCACTGGTGTCAATAAGAGTATTGCCTGAGCAAGGATTGACTTGAGTAGGGACTTTGATCCTGTCCACTGACTTTAAGAGAGTAAGATTATTTCTAATATTTTACATTGTCATTATCAGTCAGGGAATAAAGCCACATTATTTTTCACCATATTATATTCACTTGTAGGGGTTATTCAATTTGTTCTTTAAATGGTCTCATTTAAGCAGCACCAATGAATGGAAGGAGGCAATTTTCATAAGCCAAAGTCACGAAAGCCCCATCTAAAAGGGCTTGTTTTGTCATCTTCAGTGATTTTTTGTATTTGACACCCATGAAGAATTGCCACATGAAGAATTTACCTGATGCAGCCTGTAGCACTTTGGATCTGCTAGTTCCAACTGCCTTGCAGACTTCCTGCCCCAAGAAGAGGAAGATGTGGCCAGAATGTTTTGCCTTTGAGTCCAAGTCTAGACACTTTTCTGATGATGATAGGTCTTCTATCAAAGACCTCAGTGACTGCCTCTGCTTCTCTGGCCCCTGGTCCTGATACAGGATTGAAGTAGGACATGCTCCAGTTGGGGGCATTGGCCACCACATCCCTGTCATTGTCCAAGAGACCTTGGGGGAAACTCCTCTGACCTGCTGACCAGCACAAAGTTCTAGTTAGAGCTGGGGGAAGTTTTTCATCCAAAACTTTTTGGGGTGCAAAAAATGAGGGTTGGCAACACCGAAATGTTTCATGAATTTGTGTCCATTTCACTGAATTGTTCATCTCATTTCCCCCCCACAAATCAAAACATGTCATTTTGACATTTTTAAAACAATGTTTGGATTTTTTGGGTCAAAACCACTTTTTGTTCTGGATTTTCCTTCCGTTTTTTAACAAAACATAAAAATGTAAAAAAAAAAAAAACCCAATTAAAAAAGGAACAAAATTTTGTTTTGACCAAAAATACTTTTTAAAAAGTTTTTTTGCCAAGAATTCTGATTTTTTTTTTCAAGTTGACCCAAACCATTTTTTTTGAATTGCCAGCAAAAAAAAAATCATTATTTACATAGCTCTAGTTCTAATCTGATTCAGGAATAGGCATAAAATATGATAAAGTTGTGTCTGCATTAGAAGATTCAATTTGTTCCTCTGACATGGTTAAAACAATCTTATTATAATAAGGTCTCCTCAGAAATTGGAAACTGTCCAGTATATCATAGCGAACAACAAAGCTCTAGCAAAAATTGCCTTGGAATCTTTAATTACCACAAATGATCAAGAACTGAGTTTTACACATCCCACGAGTGCCCTTACCACTATGTTCTGCAGCTGGTTCAGTGTTGACACTCAGGGAAAAGTGCTACCTGCTGAAACCCTACCACAGTTTCCTTGAATATCTGGTCTTTCTTTTGATCTCTCCCCTTCAAGCACTGATCCAATCTTACTTTGATTAGGTTATGAAGACTAAGGTCATAGTCCATGATATTATGGCTTGATCTTTTTCTATCAATAACAATGTGCTTGTCAGCAATAAGATAAAGCTATGGGCTCAGCTTTTAATCTTAGCTGTTGGATGGACTTTGATTATGCTAAAAGAACAGGAGTACTTGTGGCACCTTAGAGACTAACAAGGTGCCACAAGTACTCCTGTTCTTTTTGCGGATACAGACTAACACGGCTGCTACTCTGAAACCTTTGATTATGCTGTTCAGCCACTCTTTGTTAATTCTTCTTCCATAGCTACAAAATATGGGATCATCAGCTGCTCAACATGGTGATAGATATATCCTATACCATTTTTCTCTGATTTTAAATGGCCTGACCATAGTAAATGCCACAACAATTTTGGGGTTTGTGGCCTGACTCAATAAGCCTGCACAGGAGGCCTAGGCGTGACTTCTTTGGGAGCCTAGGCCTCCTATGCAGTAAAGTAAAACAGTAAATTAATATCATTTAAGCATGAGAATTGCTAGAATTTTAGACTGACCCCCCCCCAAATAGTCCTGAATGCAAAATTGTATCTTGTGTGCATGAAATTTACCTTTTTAAATGGACACAGCTTTAAAAATTAGATTCACTTTCATTCAAATCATGCTTGTTCCTCAGATCTCATTGTGATCTATGGACTAAGTTGCACATGATGTTTCTACCTTCAACGATGTTTCATTTATCCATGCCCGGAATATCTGATGGAGCACACCACTAATGTCGAAGCATGAGTATTTTCAGGCATATGTAACTCCAATAATAATTGAACCGATTTTGCTGAAAACTTTCCTGAATAATTCACCTCTGGGCTGAGACCGAACATGGAAAAAATCACCCCTTAAGAAGTCTGGCTCCAGCTCTCACAGATAGGCACCTGACTCCATCACCCTCAGTCCACTGAGCTGATGGCCAGATTTAATGGGACCCTGAAAATGACACTGAGGACTTCTATGGATCAGCATCCCCAGGACTGGAACAAATGCTTACCCTACCTGCTGTTCATTTGAAGGGAAGTGTCCTAGGTATGTACAGGGTTCTCCCCTTTCGAACGGTATAGTAGGAGAGTGAGGGGACCCCTGGACTTGATAAGGGCTGAGTGGGAAGGGACGGCCTCCCGTGGTAATGTGCTGTCCTTGCCATAGAGGCTCCCTGAGCTCATGGGCTTTGTCAGGGGGAGACCCCAGGGGCACAGACGGTGGGGGAGTTGGGCGCCTCGGCACGGCCCGGGGACCAGGCGGGGGGGGAGGTAGGCGCCTCGGCACGGTCACAGGGGCACAGACGGTGGGGGAGTTAGGCGCCTCGGCACGACCCCAGGGGAACGGGCGGTGGGGGAGTTGGGCGCCTGGGCACGGCCCCGGGGAACGGGCGGTGGGGGAGTTGGGCGCCTCGGCACGGCCCCGGGGAACAGGCAGTGGGGGAGTTGGGCGCTTCGGCACGGCCCGGGGAACGGGCGCGCGCGGGGGGGGGAGTTGGGCGCCTAAATCCCAGGAGGATCAGGCTTCAGGGTCTGAACGTTGGGAGCAGCTGCGGACGGGGCCGAGTCTGGGCTGGGCCAGGGGCTCCCAGCATCATCGTCCCCTTGCTGAGGGAGCTGCCGCGGCGGGGTGCTCGGGAGGCGCGGCCGGCCCGGGAGAGGCGGGGCTCGGGAGGCCCGAGGGCGCAGGGGGGGGAGTCCCGCCCGGGGCGGGCTGAGCCCGAAGCCCTTGGGCCAGGGAGCGCTTCTTGGCAGAGCCCCTCCGGGGCCTGGCCCTTTAAGAGCCGAGCCTCCAGAGGAGGACTCACCTGCTTCCCCCCCGTTCCCGGCATGCTCCGGGGTGGGGTGGACTCTCTAGCCGTCGTCTCGGCGGGGCGGGGCGGGTTTGTTGTGGGGCCGCCGCCTGGTGGCTGTGACAGGGCCCGCGGTGGGGAAGGTAAGAGCGCGGGGCAGGCTGAGGAGGCGGCTGGGGGCGAGGTTGAGGGGGGAGGCTGGTGGGGCAGCTGAGGAGGGCGGGGGGGGGGGGGGGGGGGGGGCTGGTGGGGGTGGGTGGGTGGTGCTGGGGATACAGAGCCTGTACTGTCAACCCCAAATCTCCAACATTCATGAGTCATTCTCACCGAAAATCATGAGATTGACTTTAATCTCATGATTTTTATGTAAAAACAACAGATTTGGTGTTTTTATTTGCCTTCTGCATTTTGAGCCTTTAGGGTGCCCTGAGGTCACATTTTGAAGCTTTCTCCACAGCCGTGAGGGCTAGAAACGTACTTTTCCCTCTAAGAATGAAGTCTGAAATCGTCGCATATCCACTTGATTCCAGGAGCTGGGGCTTTAAGGAAAACAATTATTGTGAGGCTCATGACAAAATCATGAGAGTTGGCAACACTGCTCAGTGGATGTGCATGAAGGAGATGCCCTTGTTGGCAACTCACTGCTGGAGAAACACCTGGTTACGGGAGGGCGATGTGTTGGGCACTAGATCTTGTCTATATTTTTTGTCAAGGTCCAGACTCCAGAGAAAATAATAATTAAAGATAATAAGTAAATCGATTTTGGGGTCCATTCAACAGTGTCTGGTGGTCTGCCTTTGGCTTGCAGTCTGCCTGTTGACTACCTGTTCTAAAAACAACTGTGTTGGGACACTTGGAAGTAGCACTATGTGCTCCTGATGTCTTGAAGATGTGGTTTGTGGATGGGATTGTATTGTGCTCCCAAACTGCAAAAATCCTGCTAGGTCTGGAATTTAGCTCTTCCTATGCTGCGAGAACAATTTTTGTTCTAGTTGTTCACAATGTAGGTGTGACTGTGGAAAAGTGGGCAATTGAAGGGCCAATAGGTGTAGTTGCTGGATGCTTTTGGAGACTGGTCCTTAGATAACTCGAGTCAACAAGTATCAGAGGGGTAGCCGTGTTAGTCTGAATCTGTAAAAAGCAACAGAGGGTCCTGTGGCACCTTTGAGACTAACAGAAGTATTGGGAGCATAAGCTTTCGTGGGTAAGAACCTCACTTCAGACTCTATTTGCATGAAAAACTATAACAGTGTTAGAGAGACAAGGTAGGTGAGGGAATATCTTTTATTGGACCAATTTCTGTTGGTGAGGGAAACCAGCTTTTGAGCCACACAGAGCTCTTCTTTAGGTCTGGGAAAGGAACTCAAAGTGGCACAGCAAAATGCACAGTGGAACATATTGTTAACATGAGTAGTTGTCACATATTGTAAGGTGACAGGTTTGAGTGGTAGCCATGCTAGTCTATATCAGCAAAAAAAAAAAAAAAAAAAGTCTTTGTGGCACCTTAGAGACTAACAAATTTATTTGGGCATAAGCTTTCATTGGCTAGAACCCGCTTCATCAGATGTATAAAGTAAAAGATACAGGAGCAGGTATAAATACATGAAAGGATGTGGGGTTATGACCGACTAACACTTGGTAAAGCAACCCACATCCTTTCATGTATTTATACCTGCTCCTGTATCTTTTACTTCATACATCTGATGAAATGGGTTCTAGTCCAGGAAAGCTTATGCCCAAATAAATTTGTTGGTCTCTAAGGTGCCACAAAGACTCCTCTTCTTTCCCCCCCACCACATATTGTAAGGGACCATTCAAGGTAGAGAGGCCTGTTAACACCTCTGCAGTCAGAGGACCAAAACAAAAAAATGGGTTTTATGGGTTACAGATTGTTGTAAAATAAGCCATAAATCCAGTGTCTGTGTTCAGTCCATGATTTTTGCTGTTTAGCAAAGCAATGAATTTAAGCTCTCAGGCTCTTATGCTGGTTTCCTTTAAGGGTGAGGACTGATAGTCAGATATTGATCACTTTATGAAAAGTGTTTACCCACAGGTTTTTGTCTTTTCCTGTGTGAGTTCATTTGAGAGTGTAGTGGTCATCTGGTTTCACCCACATAGTTATTGGGGAATTGAGTGCACTGGATGAGGTATACCACATGTTGTGATTGGTATGTGTAGGATCCATTGATCTTGAAAGATGTGTTGTGTGTGTGTGTGTGTGTGTGTGGGGGTGTCTGCAGGTTTGCTTTGAGTTGGTGTGTCCTGGTCTGTGGGGAGCTTGCTTCTGGTGATGAGCTTGGAGAGGCTGTGGGTTGTTTGAAGGCCAGAAGAGGGGGTTCAGGAAAGATTTATTTCAGGATGGGGTCCCTATTGAATATGGATGGTGGTAGTTTGATGATAGAATCATAGAATATCAGAGTTGGAAGGGACCTCAGGAGGTCATCTAGTCCAACCCCCTGCTCAAAGCAGGACCAATCCCCAGACAGATTTTTGCCCCAGATCCCTAAATGGCCCCTCAAGGATTGAACTCACAACCCTGGGTTTAGCAGGCCAATGCTCAAACCACTGAGCTATCCCTCCCCCCATACCCTGTGTGGGTTCCAGTGTGGGGTGGTGGTAGGTGATAAGAAGGGGTGAGGCGTCAGAGGGGGTTTTATTTTTGTATTGAAGCAGATTTGTTAAGGGTATTTGGGTGGTCCATTGCATGATGCAATCTACTTCTTTGGTGGACTATCCTTGTTTGGTGAAGACGGTTTTAAATGTGTTGAGGTGTATATCCCAGATTCTGTGGTATCCAAGTGCCTGTCTGTAGATAACAGATTTCTTGGTGTGTTTGGGGTGTTTATTGGCTCTATGAAGGTAGGTGTGGTAATCTGTGTGTTTCTTGTATATGGTTGTCTGCAGGGTTCCATGGTTGAAGGTGATTGTGGTGTCCAGGAAGCTGATGCTAGTGTGGGATTGTTCCAGAGAGAGTTTAAAGCAGGGGTTCTCAACCTTTTTCTTTCTGAGGCCCCCTCAATATGCTATAAAAACTCCATGGCCCACCTGTGCCACAATAACCGGTTTTCTGCATATAAAAGCCAGGGCTGGCATTAGGGTATAGCAAGCAGGGCAATTGCCTGGAGCCTCATGCCACAGGGCCCCTGCGAAACTATATTGCTCAGGCTTCAGCTTCAGCCCCAAGTGGTGGGGCTCAGGACCCAGGCTTCAACCCCCTGCAGTGGGGCTTTGGCTTTTTACCCTGGGCCCCCCTGAAACCTGCTCGTGGCTCCCCAGGGGGCCTCGGACCCCTGGTTGAGAACCACTGGTTTAAAGGATGGATCGTGGTTGTTGAAGTTCTAGTGGAAATCTATAAGGGATTTTAGGTTGCCTGTCCGAGGTTGAAAATATCATTGAGGTATGTCACTGGTTTTGTGGTGCATTTGTGCTATCTATGTGCTAAACAATCTGTTCCACCTTGTCTTGTGACGCTGGGAGTTCCTTTCCCAGACCTGAAGAAGAGCTCTGTGTGGCTCAAAAGCTTGTCTCTCACAACAAGAGAAGCTGGTCCAATAAAAGATATTACCTCACCCACCTTGTCTCTCTAATATCCTAGGACTGACCCGACTACAATTATACACTTTGATAACACTGTTTTCTGTAGTAAGGAAAGACAGACTCTTCAGGTGTGGCGGGGGGCGGTACAATCCATCCAGGATACCTGCTTCCACAGAAAAGACAAAGGCCTCGCTCCTGCTTCCACCCATACACGCTCTCATCCCCTTTATTTTTTTCTTTTATTGGCTGAGGCAAAATATCCACATGTGATCTGCAGCTCTGTTAAATGCTGATGAAGCTGTATATTTCCTTTGTTTGTTTAGACCAGTGGTTCCCAAACTGAGGTTTGTGAACCCCTGGGGGTTCATGAAATGTTATAGGGGGTTCTTGGGAGGGGGGGGAATTCCCTAATGGCGGACAGAGCTGTCCCTAGGGAGAACGGGACCAGAAGCCTGGAGCCCCTGGACTTCCAAGAGCTAAGCAGATCAAAGCAAGCATCTCTATCACACTGAGGAGATTTAAACTCCAAGACTCCTTATAAGAAATGGAAAGGGAGGTGGATATTTTTTGCTGTTTTTAAAATGAAATAGGCAGCTAGTATTGTTTTTAAAATTATTATGAAGAACAAGTTTAAGCTTTGTTTTAACATACATTGTTTGCCTGGACTGCTCAAGACCTGAATGCTTGTGTAGGAGGAACGCTTTGAGTTGGCTTCTTAAATACCTTCCTGCTGTTTCACATCTGACAGTCCTTGATGAAACATAGGAGCCTTGTCTTATAACAGGCTTATTCAGAGTGATGCAAGCTACGAAAGTGAGGTCTTGGAAGAGTGTTGCCGTTTTCATAATGTAATAAAAATACTGTAATGATAAATAATTAATAATAAATAGTGTGTAATAAGCATGTCATAAAAACAAATTTTATATTTCCAAGATCACTGCTTTTATAATTTATACTCGGGTAAAGGAGAAAATCCCTGGAAATATTCATTTTTAGGAGGGGGTTCGCGAGACTTGACATTTTAGTGAAAGGGGTTCACAGGTTGTTAAAGTTTGGGAACCACTGGTTTAGACTGTTCTGTGCCTAATAGACCTAAAGAGATATTGAGCACCCCCAGCTCCCTCTGCAGTCAGTGGAAGCTGTTGGTGTTTGGTCCATCTGAAAATGAGATCAAAGGTGCATTACATGTAGCAAAACACAAATTTTAATCAAATGCACAGTCAAAAAACCTCAACTTCCTCTAAAGCTTTCCTGAGCACTGATGTAACTTTACCAGCTCTCCCTCAGTCTTCAGTGGGATTGTGTAGGTCTGGCCAAGGGCAGAACTTGGCCCAGTAACTGGAAGTTAGTAAATCATTGGGCTGAAATTGGCCTAAATGCAGCTTTTCCATAGGTAAAAGGTGACTCAAATGATCAATGAGAAGGAGAACCGATACTCGAGTCAGGACACTCCAGCTTCCTGAGTGCTACCAACCTTCCCATTCTGACTAAACAAAGACAAACTCTTTCAACAATAGCGGAATTTTTTGCTGAAAAGGACACCCAGGCAGTTTGTCTGCATCTGTGCTCAGAGCCTTTTGGGTGGATACATTTTCTAAATTGCAAAATATGAAAAAAAATTGAATGGAAAATGTATGGCCTGTTTTATAAATGGGAGCGCTAATTTACCCATAAAGGGGGTGCAATAATACTACAGTAAATGTCTAATTCAGTCATACACAATACACTGACTAGTCTTTATGTGAGCCTTAGGTTAAAAAGCATATCCCTGGAATATTATTAGATGTACGAGTGTATTTCATTCATGTTGAAATTTGACGTACCTTGGTTCTTACTTAAGTTTCCACCTACTTAGTTGAAACGGCCCTTTAAAAAAAGTTTGTGAAGTTGTGTCCCGTCTATACTGGTAGTATAACTGGACTGGCAAAATATTTTTTATTAAATGTTTCAGTAGAGTGTGGTGAGGGGCTATAAATGAAAATACTGTGAGCACGTTATTGTTTTCTTAATTTTGAGCACCAAAATGTATGATAGGTGTTTCACAAAAACAGTAATGACACCTCTACCCCGATATAATGCGACCCGATATAATGCGGTAAAGCAATGCTCTGGGGGGCGGGGCTGTGCACTCCGGTGGATTAAAGCAAGTTCGATATAACGCAGTTTCACCTATAACACGGTAAGATTTTTTGGCTCCCGAGGACAGCGTTATATCGAGGTAGAGGTGTAGTTGGCTTCAGAGAGGCTCTGCATACGTGCAAGGGTCTGTTACACAGATTCAATGGCTGGATTGGGGCCTAAATTCAAACAAGTGATCATAGACAGAAAAGGGGACTGGGGAAGAGGAGAGGTAGACAAGGGTTAGAGTAATAAGATCGTGCAGTTACTCAGGCAGGTACACATCCTGATGAGTCCGTTAATCTCTCTTAAGAACTAACTTTATCATGTCACCTGCAAGTGAATACATGCCATGATAATTTAAACAAGCAGAAGGGAGGTGGCTTGGGAAACAGGTTTTTGGAAGGCATTCTATGCCTGTGGGGCAGCATGGAATGAACACAGGTAAAAGTGAGAGCAGAAAAATGAACGGGGTGTTGAGGTTGGTCTTGTAGGCAGAGTAGATGGAGAGAGCATGCCTAGTTTGCAGCCTCGTTTGGAGATGTAGGTGGGTCTAAGTGTTTTTCAGTGTCTTGATGACAAGCTGTGGCCTCTGTGTATGACAGAAGCGTGGAACAAACTTGTGAGTTAAATCTTTTTAAGGTTTGCCCTGAATTTTATGGGGTGACATTAGTGCTGACCTCTAATCCAGGCCCTATCAGATTTCTAACAAAACCCCAAATCAGTCAAGAATATATAAGTCTCTATCTTCTGCTCATGAGTAGATGCTTTTAAAAGTTGTACACAATTCCTTAGAAAATGATGAAAAGTGGTTCATTCTAGGTAACCTAGCAATCTGTGTTCTCAGTATCCATACAAATGTCTAATTTCTTTTTGAATCCTAAAATCTTGGCAACACTGGTTTGTTGAGGCAAAGAGTTCTACGGGCTAATTATGTGATGTGTTAAAAGGATTTTTGTTTTTATGTTTTAAATTTGTTGCCTTTCCATTTAATTGAATGTCCCCTTGTTCTTCTATTACAAGAGGGTAAGTAGAAGCATCCGACGTACCTCATCTATACCATTCATTATTTTATATAGATCTGAAACAGTTTTAGATAAATTCATCTTAATCTGTTAGCAATAGCACCTAGTAACTGAGAGACTGCTGTTTTGAGGAGCTGATCTCAGTTGAAAGTTAACAATGCTAATATTTATACTTCTTCTGAACCAACAAACTTTTTTCAGTAGGTTAAAGTCTGGGCATTTTTGTGCACTGTTTGTTTTAAACATTGATATTACAAGAGCAGATGAAAGGTCAGTGTGATGTTTCACTCTCATGTATCTTGTTTATCAGTGGAATGGGAGTAATTGTTAAATAGATGATTACGGAAGTGTAATTATTTTGGGGCTTAGTGGTTTGTCTTTTTGTAAAAAAAAATTTAATATTTAATAAAATCTTTTATTTTAAACACAAGCTGTGAATCAAATAGTATCAAGAAACATTAACTGCTTTAACTTTTTTTACTCTCTATCTTAAAAGCTCAACAGTAACACTTCTGTAGTGTCGTTCAATTTAGCAAATGACTATTTTTCTCTTTTTAATGGCATGCAAGCCCTATGTGGCTCTTTCTTTCTCTACTGTCACCAGGGTCCCAGTGGGGACCAGCTGTGGTCACTCAGTTAGGGTGAACTGCAAAGAATGGGGCAGACAAACCCCCAAAAGCTGGTGGATATTCCAATACTTAGGCTAGGTCTACACTCTGGGGGAGGGGGGGTCGACCTAAGATACGCAACTTTTGCTGAAGTCGGCGTATCTTAGGTCGATTTACCTGGCCGTGAGGACGGCGGGGAGTCGACCGCTGCCGCTCCCCTGTTGACTCTGCTTCCACCTCTCGCCGCGGTGGAGTTCCGGAGTCGATGGCAGAGCGATCGGGGAAGATGCGATAATATCGATCCCCGATAGATCGATCACTACCCGCCGATCCGGTGGGTAGTGTAGACGTACCCTTAGATTTACCAAGCCAGCATAAAACAGCTTCTTTATTACCTTGCTGGTTACTCAGAAGTCCAAACAATGCAGTTCCCTTAAAGTGATCCAGCCTCAGGCCTCCATCCAGGTACTTAAGTCAAATATGATTTCTGAAAATCTTATTTCATCATATAAAAGAAAAGGTTCTACCAATCTCAAAGTATCGGACACATTACCTCCTAGGTTATTGAATATTCCAGATCTTACCCAAATACATGCTACAGCCAATTCTTATTAACTAAACTAAAATTTATTAAAAAACAAAAGAGAGTATGGTTAAAAGATCAATATACATACAGACATGAGTTCAATCCCTGAGGTTCAGATTCATAGCAGAGATGGTGAGCTTTGTAGTTGCAAAGAGTTCCTTTAGAATTCAGTTATTAGGTTATAGTCTAATGTCCAAATATCATATTCAGGATGTACCGACATAACTGGGACCTCAGTCTTGCAACTCAAACTTCCCCTGATGAAGCTTAAGCAGATCTGAGCTGACAGAATCGGGACCAAACGGTCTTTTTATACAGTGTTCTAGCATCCACTTGACCATGCAGTCCTGGTTAATAAACAATAGGCCAGTGGTCCGCAATCTTTTTCGTTTGGCGGGCGCCAGACGACGAGCCACGCAGGACCGTGGCGGCAGACGAGCATACTCTGAAATGCTGCCGACAAGCGGCAACGTCAATAGGCATCGCCGCCGAAATGCTGCCGAGAAGCATCAGCATCCAGAGGCGTTGCCGCGATGCCTCTGGATGACGCTGCTTCTCGGCGGCATTTCGGTGGATGCTCGTCCGCTGGTCAGTACGCGGGCGCACTTAGACGCCATGGCACCCGCAGGCACCGCATTGGGGACCCCTGCAATAGGCTTTTGATGTAACCGTTTGCTTAAACACCACCAGTAATTAGTTACACAAATTAACATAGGGCAATTTATCCATTAGGCAGTCTATCACAAACTTCAAAGAGACATATAGACAATGACATTATTTTACCAAAGATTCATCTAAATGTTAATATTCCATTTTGATCTCTGAATCAGTAGTTCTAGTGACAGACAGGAACTGTCTGGATTACACGGGTAGTATCTAAGATACACACAATTAATATTACCTCTAACGTCTAACAACGTAGGTTTGTATTTCAAAGTTCTAGCCTATTTAGCATGCAGTGGCCCTAATTAACATTTCTAACATGTTTTTAAAGGCCGGCTTTGTGTCATTCAGCCTGCAAGCTGTTTAACCCTTTCTGGCCATGAGTTATATTTTGTATAAGATTTGCTGCAATTATATAGCAGTGGTTTGCATGGTTATATTTTAATTAGATAACGTCACAACTTCATAGTTCTGATAAATATAATCGTATCACAAATGCCAGCACTATTCTAAGAATGGAGGATTTGCTCCCTCTGGTTGTCTAGTTTCATAACAACAAAAATTGAATTATGTGTAATTAGGGGCCTTACTCTTTTTTGATATGGTGGCCAGTTCAGCATGCCAAACCCCGTGGTTATACAGTGTACTTTTGACTATGATTGAGAGTTTATTTACCTCGCCACATTAATTGCTTTTGCCTACGATGCTGAGCAATTTTTTTTTTAATATGAACTGGGTGGAGAAAATACCTTCAAGTTCTCTGAATTCTCTCTTTTTTTTTTTTTCCGTACTGTAAAACAAAGTTTAAATACCGTTTGGGCATTAGATGTACTTTACATCATATATACAATTCTGATTTCACACTAGATGATCCTTATTAGCGTTCCTAGACATATCCTTTGACTAGGAAGGAGTACTGCAGAAAGGGATCTGGGAGTCATAGTGGATCACAAGCTAAATATGAGTGAACAATGTTTCTTTTTCTTTTCTTTGCAGTTTCTTTCAGTTCTATGATTCTTCCTTAGCAGGCCACCTAATATCCCATGGAAGCCAATTAAGTGTCACGCTGTATCTGGTACATTCAAGAAGCACAGCAGATATGTCCCTCAAAAATGTACTGTGGGAGTTCAGCAGCAAAAATGCTAGAAGACTAAGGCATCAACTTACACATCATCTCAGAAATAGAACTCAATGGATCGTCTGAAAAAGCTTGCCAGTGAGCTGATCAGTATACTCCAATATTCTAGGAGGTATGCTTGCCTACTAAAATTAGTTTACTTCAGGACAAACTCTTTGTACAATAAAATCACAGGACTGGAAGGGACCTTGAGAGGTCATCAAGTCTAGTCCCTGCACTCGTGACAGGACTAAGTATTATCTAGACCATCTCTGACAGGTGTTAGTCCAACCTGCTCTTAAAAATTCTCAGTGATGGAGATTCCATAACCTCCCTAGACAATTCATTCCAGTGCTTAACCACGCTCACAGTTAGGTAGTTTTTCCTAATGTCCAACCTAAACTGCCCTTGTTGCAATTTAAGGCCATTGCTTCTTGTCCTATCCTCAGAGGTTAAGAAGAACAATTTTTCTCCCTCCTCCTTGTAATCTCACCTTTTATATACTTGAAAACTGTTATCATGTTCCCTCTCAGTCTTCTCTTCTCCATACTAAACAAACCCAATTTTTTCAATCTTCCCTCAGAGGTCATGTTTTGTAGACCTTTAATCATTTTTGTTGCTCTTCTCTGGACTTTCTCCAATTTGTCCACATCTTTCCTGAAATGTGGCCCCCAGAACTGGACACAATTAGGACTCCAGCTGAGGCCTAATCAGCACGGAGTAGAGTGGAAGAATTGCTTCTCGTGTCTTGCTTACAATACTCCTGCTAATACATCCCAGAATGATGTTTGCTTTTTTTTGCAACAGTGTTACACCATTGACTCATATTTAGCTTGTGGTCCACTATGATCCCCAGATCCTTTTCTGCAAGAAGAATTAGGGTTGTCCCCTCTTTTGATTTTTATATAATATATAAAAAAGTCCTGAAAGTTTTTGGACAAAAAACTTATTTCCTGTTTGTTTTTTACATTAGGAATTTAGGACTCGTCTGCAACAGTAAGAATATGTCTGCAGTGCAGATTAAGGTGTGATTGCAACATGGGTTTTAAGTTAGCTTGTGTGAGTAATAGCAGCGAAGATGTGGCAGCATGGACCCTGGGCAGGGCTAGCAACCCAAGTATGTACCTAGAATCCCTGGCAGGCTGGTATTGGGGTGGCTAGCCTGTGTTGAAGCTCGCACCACCATGTCCTCACTACCACTGTTACTCGCACCAGCTAGATTAAAGCTAGCATGGGTATGTCTAACCGCACTGCAAACACACCATCATTTGTGGTATAGATGTACCATTCGATGACTGACAGGAGGGCTAGTGGAAATGAGAACTAGTCAGTGTGAGTTAAATGTGCAAGTGCTATTTTTATCTTTGAATATCTCTTCCAATGTTCCTGAGATTTCTAGAGTAAAAAGCTATCGGGAAGAAATTGGTGAATTCTTTCAGGGAGAGAACATTTTCTGGCCATTATTATACATCAGCAAGAAGCAGAAAAAGGGACAGTTCTAATTTAAAAAAGCAAAAAAATAAAATAAAAAAAATACCCCATGCTTTTTAGATCATCTTTAAAAGATGATGGCAGTACAAGAAGTATTGTTGAGAAGCAGCAATGAAAGCGTTAAATCTATGCTTTAACACAATACATCCTTGCGTAGCAGGTTATTATGTAAATGGATGCAATCTTAATTTAATACACTTATTTCCAGATTGTCCTCATGAATACTCTTGTGGAGGATGTCCATGATCCTCTTTGCTTGTGTGGTGAGAGTGAGGGACGGACTTCCACTTTCAGCCTCGACGGATTTTCATCTCAACCAGGACTTTCTGGAATGCAGGAAGAGACTAAAGGCATTATCCTTAATTCTGGCACAGTATCCTGATCGAGGCACAGCAACAGGACGTGGCTTCAGCATACAGTAAGCTACCACGTTCACTTGGTCTTAATTTCACAGAATTGTTTATCCTGCTGGGATTAATTTAACTTCAACGGTTGGCTATCATATATTTTTTTTTTTTATCCTATAATATAACTGCAACTTGAACATGTGCTACAGGTATAACATGAACTTTCAGTATTCTATGAAAATGAGTGTTTGCATTATCATGTTATATAAACTTTATTACTAATTTCCTCCTGCTATCTTTTTGCTTCCAACCTGCATCTCTTCTCCCCTCCCTGTCCTTCATGTTGATGTTCCCACTTCTTTATGGGAATGAAACTCTTTCTGTCTTAAGCATTTCTAAAACAGCCATCTCTACTATAACATCTAGATCAGTGGTTCTCAAAGCTGGTCTGCCGCTTGTTCAGGGAAAGCCCCTGGCGGGCCAGGCCGGTTTGTTTACCTGCTGCGTCCGCAGGTTCGGCCGATCGCGGCTCCCACTGGCCGCGGTTCACCACTCCAGGCCAATGGGGGCTGCGGGAAGTGGCACGGGCCGAGGGATGTCCTGGCCGCCCTTCTCGTAGCCCCCGTTGGCGCCTGGAGCGGCGAACCGCGGCCAGTGGGAGCCGCGATCGGCCGACACTGCGGATGCGGCTGGTAAACAAATCGGCCCGGCCTGCCAGGGGCTTTCCCTGAACAAGCAGCAGACCGGCTTTGAGAACCACTGATCTAGATGAGTTTTCTCTAATCTCAAGATCCTCATTCACAGTCATGTCAGTTGTATTACCTTTAAATTGTACATTTAAAAAGGTAATCTTGTCAAGACAAAAATATTTATAATAAATAATCCTACCAGAGTATACTCTTTACATTAGATTTTAAAATGGTTTGAATAGGCTCTTCAGCTTTTTTTCCTCATTCCACTTAGCTTGATCTGCAAGATCTGATTTCTTAAGTGATCAGAGCTCACATCTGAGACTGCACTCCTGGTTAGAGATTGTAAGGGCTGGTTATTGGAGACCTGAGCTATAAGTGATTGTATGTATGTGTATAATTTATTTTTGTGGCGTGGAGGGGGGCTATGAACTTTGAATGAATGAATTGAGAAAGGAAAGATTAAAGTTTTAATTGGTTTTCCTTCAAAGCCAGTGTAACAAGGCATGAATTTCAAGTTTATGTTTAATCTTCAGCATTGTCAGGTGAAGGTGATAACTTTTAGATCTAGTGCCCTTTGTAGAGAAGGGACCATAAACAGGTATGGGGGATAAAGGCTATAAATAAACTGCTGCTGTATACAGAGATTGGTATATTTTCTTTAAATAGAACTACAACTGGGATGAAAACCAGATGGGTTTTTCTTCAGTACTCTTTCCCAACTAATGCAGCCAAGATAAAAATATTTTTAGAGACCATAAAGTCTAACATACAGTTGATGTCCAGCATAACTCTTCTACCTCTTAATTGTGATTTTTAAAATGGATGTTTTCTTTTCAGTTTTCATTCTTCTGGGGACATCGCCTGCATGGGAATCTGCCTCAGCAGTTGCCCAACCGTCATGGCATTTTGTTTCCTGGAGGAGCTCCAGTGGAAATTTTCTGCTTCATATGACTCTACGAGCATAAGTTTGGCTACCAGACCCTATGCTTTTCTTGAATTTGGTTTGTAGATTTACTCTTTTACTGTTAGAATCCTTTGTACAGAGCATCATATTTGAAATAATTAAACTAGCGGACAGGTTGGTAATGACAAGCAGCCATGCTGATTCCTGATTGTACAAAGTGGTTTTATGTGTCAGGAGAAGGGTGTACGAAAAATATTCATATAATAATATGAAACTGCATATTATTATTGTGGTATTTCTTAGGAGTCTTAGTCATAGACCTGGGCCCTGTTGTGCTAGGTGCTGTACAAACACAGAACAAAAAGACAGTCCCTGCCCCAAAATGTTTACAATCTAAGTATAAGACAAGACTGGGAAAAAGACCGTGTGAGCAGCACAGAAAACAGAGAGATGACGCAGGTCAGCGTGGTAGACAGTTTCACTTCCCACATAGCTTAGGCTCATGTAGCACTTCCTGATCATACCGTGTGTCCCCTCTCACCTGTGATTCCTGACATAAATAAATGGCTTTTTTTTCTCCTACCAACTAGGGCCCCTTGTGAACATCACATCTCTGGAAAAATATGACTAGCTCTGTAGTATTAGTTCCATTAGTGAGACCTCTATACCCTGTGAGGGGTAGGGTGGTGAAATGGGTTAATACACTAACGTCCATCTCTGAACAAGAGATTTCAGATCCTGCTTAGAAGAAAGAGATGCTTAAAGGGAAACTACAGTATGCAGCAGTTCTTGGGTTGTGAGTGAATTGACTGCCAGCCACATTCTAATTTCTTCATAAATCTGTGTTGAAATTTGCATTTTGTTGTTTCTCCTGCATTTTGGCTAGGGATTTCTAGCTTATTTTAATCACACATTGGCGATGTACTAAGAAAACAAAATGCAAAAGTTTTGGTTCCTTGCATTTTTCATTTTCAGTATCATGTTTCTCTCCCCTCTTATGCTTTTGCATGATCTTTTATACATTCTTCTAGATCTAAGTTGCACTGAATAAATTGCAAGATCTGAACTGTTGCCTTAGTAGTTATTGATCTTTGTAACTGTTTAACTCTTGGAATATTGCAACGCTAATATGATCCCTGTAGTTGTTGCTTGAAATCCCTTATCCTTGCCTGATGCTGTGTACTCTGGGTCATAAAGCACTCTGTAGTCTTGCTGTTCAGTAGGATCTGCCATCAACCTAAATGATATGTTGTAACTTACTGTTTGGATGTATTGCCTTTTAAGTTAAGATTTATTTATTTATTTTTTACTTCACTTAAAAAACAGATCTCTTTATAAATATGCTTCTACATTTAATTTGCTTCATTACTCATGATTATTATAAAAAATAATGTAACAATCTCCACCCTTCATAGTATAGAGATAAGCAAGTAAGCTAGGCTAGAGAACAGTTAGCAATATCCGTAATGGGGAGCTCCAACTCTGGAGATGTGCATGATTGTTACTGAGATGCTACTGTAGGTTGTAGTTTTAGTGCTCTGCAACTTGACTCAAACCTGTGGAGAGGGATATTTTTGTATGAGAACGCTGTTATAAAATCTAACTATGGAATATTTGTCTGAGTCATTTGTAGCACAAGTCTCAGGAAAATCCCTCTGCATCCTGGTCTGAGAAGTTGTTGCTGTGACTTTGAATAGTAGGTCCCATCTTGCACTGTAAAACTAAAATTCCCGGCACTGTTTAAAATACAATTCTGTCTTGCGGAGTAGATGGGACGTTACAGCATTCAAGGCTTCATTGTGATTTATAGACCTTGTTAAACCATGGTTAGGTCGTCTCTACTGTGCAGAGTAAAGCTGTGTTTTAAGCAAATCTGGGATGGCGAGTGTGTGTGTTACAGCATCCAGAAGTGTGATCGGTACTTTACACAACAAATAGAAAGCAAAGTATTTGACCCAAACAGTAAACAATAACATTTTAGATATGCTACAATTAAGGTTAAAAAAACTGGATAGGAAGGTCCGGGATATCAGTTAGCTCATTAACAATCCAGTGTTTTAATTAAAATATTTCTTGATACCCTCTTATAGATAATATTATTCAGAAAGTGAAATACCATTTCAACTACACAAGCTGCTCTCAAATGAAGAACAGCCTGGAGAAAATTCAGGAAGAGCTGAAGTTCCATCCTCCTGTGCTTCTGAAACTAGAGGATACAGAGCTGATGAACGGGATGATTAACGGGCACACAGAAGTGCAGATGGGGTCTGGTAAGTTATTGGTATGCAAAGTTTTTTTTTTTTAATGTCAACAATACAGGTTTCTTCTGATAACTACCTTTTTAACCTATGATGAATAGTTAAAAATCCCAGTTGTGTTTTTCTGAAATGAGAAACCCATGTTAACATATATAAACCTCAGACAAATAGTTCTTGTTCAAGGCTAGCTTTTTCATCATCATGAAGAGTACATAAACCCTTGTGTTATAGCAGATACATAATGAAACTGATGAAGTACTTATAGTCGTTCATCTTTAACCATAAATCGTTTTCTCTATGGAAGTTCGTTATGACTGGAATTACGAATTGCACATTTCCCCTGCATTTAAGCAAGTTGAGGCTTTAATTTTCTTTAAGAGAAAGAGCTTCATTATATCATGTTCCATAAACAAAGACCCAAAATATATTTCCAGTCTAGAAGATTTATTTTAGCTTAAGGAAGAAAATGATTCAAAGAATAAATATCTCTGAGACTGCAGGGTGATGTCTCACTTAAGATTATCCATCTTGAATTGTTTCACAGCATTTCACCTTTCCCTCTTCCCCAGTAGCCAGGCAAGATAACAGCTTACATTTAAAGTTGCTGTAAGCTTTAATTCTGTTTTTTACTATCTTACAGTTATGATAAACATTTACCTAAATATCATATTGAGAGGTTTCACAGAGCTAACGTTGTATAACAAACACTTTAAAATGTATCTATTTGTTTTTCAGTATCATCTTACTATGCAAAAACTTAGAATGCAGCTTGACTTGCCTATTTCAGGGTGAATCTGTAGGGCTAACAAAAAAAAACCCCATTGTTTTATTTATAAACGAAGCAGATTTGATTGGCAAGTTATATTAGTGATCAGTTTTCAGAACCACATGTGAAGGGACAATATCTTATGACCTGCCAGGCTTAGAAATACTTTAAACTAGTACAGATGCTTTCAAGACCAGTACATATTTCCACGCTAGACCTGAACAAATATTCCGTTCTCATAACCTCCGTATTCTTTCTTTCTTTCTTTCTTTCTTTCTTCCATTTTCCATCTAGTTTTGTACCTCTGGCTCTTTTCAGTGGTCTAACCCAGATACTCATACATATTGTTTCATCCTTATTGTAAGAACCATTTTCAGCCTCATCTATCTACCGCTGCTTGACTCCGCTTTTCTGGCTTTTGTCTGTATCTCGGTCTTTCATTTTCTGTCATTAACAGAAGCAGTGGCTGAATCCCATTCTACTGCCTCCAAAATTTGCTTGTTCTATCTTAGAAGGAAACTAAGACTTTATCTACACTACAGCTATACTAGTCAGGAAACTTGGTGACAACACAAAGCCAGGGGATCTGATTACAATAAGGTTGAAAGATATAGTAGAGACAGGACCTAATCATGTCCTCGTAAACAGGTAAAAATGTGTACTGTCCAAGGCTTTAGTCTTGTCACAGGGAGGTGGTTAGTTCCTATCTACACTTTGTAACCATGTTGTGACCAGATCCTCTGACTCCCTATTCCTAATGTAGGAAAGCTGAGCATAGTCTAGCCATCTCCTCCCGATCTACTCTGGCCAGAGAGAACCCCTTTTGCACCATGCTAAAGAACAATGCTTGAACCCAGTTCTTGCTCGCAAGGTGCTAGCATTGTTCCTTTGGTCAGTGTGGTCGCCATTGTCTTACTGGAAAGCGTAACTCCTATCTTGAAGGTGTTTATATAGCGGGTGAAGAGACTGGGCCCTTAAGAAATGTTGTAAATAGTTGATGTGGAAAGGAGAGAACATTTCCATCCTAGACAGATACAGAAATGGTATTTATGAAATGGAAAAACATCTTGCCCTAACTGTCTGGTAAACATGGTAATAAGCTATGCAGCATTGTGTTCTCCTGAATGAACACCACTAGTCTCCTGAACAGCTTTACAGGTCGTATTTAAAGCATAATTGTGTTTTCTTAAAATGAGATCTTAATACAAGTGTTTTTCAGATTTAAAATACCTTACTTATTTTTAAATGGAAATGTCTGAGTCTAATTTCATACTGCTAAAGATCATGCATTGACTTGGAGCTCTCTGTCAGCCTTATTTCTCTGCTTGGCTCCTTGGCAGCCAACTGTTTTGTACAATTCCCTGAGGAAATAGCCATTACTGTTTGCTGCAAATTCCATTCTATCTCCAGTTAAACAGGCTGAGGGAATCGGTTTGGAAAAATCTTAAGTGAAACTTCTGCCCGTTACTTAGTGAACGGTTTTGCAGGATTGTATAGTCTCCTGGAGAAATGCACAAACTGCTGCTGCTAAGGACGGAACAAACTCCGATTCTCCAAGGCCAGGTCCACACAATTTATGTACTGACTTAACTATTTCTGTTATGGGTGTGATTTTGAAATAGCTACATCAGTACTACCCCTAATGTGGTTGTAGTTATACTGGTATAAGGATACTTATACTGACCTGGTTTATTCTCTTAAATATGGGAATAAGCCATACCACTGTAAGTGGTACAACTTTTATGAATGGGTAATGCCTAAGACTTTATATAGGAATAAAATGAAATGAAAACTTTTGTCTTGGGGTATAAAGTCAGAAATAAACCAACCCCACATGATCAGGCGTAGCAATCTCCACTCTTTTTCTCCCATGATATTAATGCTTATTGCCTCCTGTATAGAACTTCTAATTTGTAAATTTTCCAAACTAGATTCTTCATCATATTCAAGTCTCAATATGTTGCTTCCATAGTTTCTCACTGGGGACTGGAAGCTGATGATATGCTTACTTCAAGCAGGGAAGAATGACTCTTATTAGTTATTGACAATTCCTGTTTGTTTTAAAGTGAAACACTGATTGGCTCTGAAGTGAATCTTGGCAACGTATTTATTTATTTGACATATGCAGTCTGGTCCAGCCAAGCCACGGCATTCTTATTAACGATGTTCCAGGCACGAAGACCTCCAGGAAGTTGTCATTTTGCAGTCCTCAACAATATGTGTGTCATAGTTTGTGGCTGCCCACATTGACATAGTGGACTGTCGGTAAAATGCCACTGAAATTTCACTGCAGCACAAATTCCATGTCCAGTACGAAACTGGTTCAGAAGGCTCCATTGTCTTCATGGTAAATCAAACCCAGGATGACATTGAGTGAGGTCCGAGACAAGATAATTATTTGTCACTTTCTCAGCGGACCATGGAGCTCACCACGTGTCCTCTACTGTAAATCCCTTACCTGGTAAACTTATCTACAACGGGCAATGTGAGGACAGACAATCATGTGGTGGATTAAACAAGTCTTTAATTAACAGTGGATGTGGCATATCATGCAGTGTCGTCATGAGCTTTGCTTCGCTCTCCTCTCTGCAAACACTGAGTGAAGCAATATTGCAGAGAACCAGTAACCATGGTAGAGGAGTAGATTTAAGTGGCCTGAAATAATACGCATGGTGGAATTAAGTAGTATGTCAATCATCTTTGTGTGAGACAAGTGAGCGTATACTGGAGTGCAATACTCTGCTGCTGAATAACAGAATGCCACGGCTGAAGTGCTTAATGTTTGGGCTTTGGCACCCCATGTCATTCCGGCCAGTTTTCTGAGCAGGTTGCTGTGTTTTGACCTTAGTCGCTGTCTTTATAAAATGGTCATGATATGTGAGTTCTATCCAATGTGACGCCTAGATAGACCAGGTGTGAATCATGCTTTATTCGCTGACCATTGAGAACTATATTCAGCTCTCTGCCCACTTGTGCATGATGTAAGTGGGAAAACACTCAACACAGTCTTACTTCCACTTGGTATCAGGCGCAACCGACGACAATCGGTCATAGCCACCATATCTGCGTTTAGAACGCTTTCTTAGGTATGTCAAAGGCATGTGACTGAGTGCCAAGGCACATGTCGTCTGCATGAACAAACTTGGCAACTTGCAGTCAAGGGATAGCTAGACGAGGGAGGGAGAATCAATGCTCTTTTCGGGAGAATTGTGTGGGGGAGGAATATGCACTATTGCTTATTTTAGTAAAACTTAATCCATCAATAGTAATGTACAGTAAACTATGTGTGCAGATCATTGAGAAAATAAAACATGCTGGTGCTGCTTATCGGACTAAACACTGTTCAGTGAGTCACTTAGATGTTAAATTTCGTTGCTGTTTTTTATTATGCAAAGTCATATTTAAATGACTGAGATACCTGCACCATTGATTTCAGTGGAAACTTTTATACAATAATGTTGCATGATGCTGGCATATTGCATAACAAGATTAATGTGACTGCTGCCACAGCAATGTCTGAGATAAAAGCAGGTGTGTGCGGGAGTGCCAATTGAGTTAATTGCATAGCCATTTATTAGCGCTAATTCACACCACTGTATTCAAGTAGCATTGAAGCTTGCTGTAAACCTACGTTGTCAAGGAAACCTCAGTTATAGGACAAGCCTTTATTTTAATAAAAAAAAAAGAGGTGGGTGACTTTCCTGCTTTAAACTGTTTAGTATCACTGTATTAAACAGCTGCTGCATTCCATCCCAGCAGTGGCTGCATTTCACTAAAGAGTGAAATGCGATGATATGCATTTATCCTATAGAAGAGCTCCTGTCCTGGGGAGGTGTAATATTTGTACTGCATTTTGAGACAGCTGGATTAAAGGTGCTATAAAACATACATCATTGTATTTTTGCATCCTTATATTGCTACTAGTGTCTATTTTTGAGGTGGAGTAAGATCACTTCTGGTTCTGAGGCCCTTCCAATAAAGGAATTGCTGCCTCTTAACTCCTTGCTCTTGTGTGTTTAAGTCTGATATTAACAAAGTTAATATTTAAACTTATTGTTTGTATAGATTTATATAATGCTCAAATATGTAATTGGGTATTCTGTATTTTTCATGATTGGAATTCCATCCTCTGCTGTTTTATAAATAAGTTTCTAGCCCTTATGGGTATAAGGAAAACCTTGTCTATTCTGGAGTCCTTGTGGCACCTTAGAGACTAAGAAATTTATTTGGGCATAAGCTTTCGTGGGCTAAAACCCACTTCATCAGATGCATGGAGTGAAAAAAACACCACAAAAGCTTATGCCCAAATAAATTTGTTAGTCTCAAAGGTGCTACAAGGACTCCTCGTTGTTTTTGCTGATACAGACTAACACAGCTACCCCTCTGAAACTTGTCTAGTTTGTTTAATCTTCCTGAAGCTGCAATGAGCATAAAATGTTGCTGCACATTATCTTCCCTGCTCGCAGGCTCTTTGCTACCTTAGGAATCCAGTTGCAGCTGCTGAACTGAGACCCAACCTGGTGGAGAGGAATTCTCAGCTGGCATAAAAGCTAGTGGAGCTACCTCCTGCGCCAGCTGCCTCTGTCCCCCCTTCCCCAGCCATGAGTGGTTGGTGAGGGTGCAATGTGGAGCTCCTCTATGCTACACAGTCTGGGGATAACAGCCAGCTACTGGCTATATCTGGGCTGAGGCCAAAACATCGTAAGAACGGGGGAGACTCCTTGATGACCCTTCTCTTCTTTCTTGCATCTAGGGGATCTTGGTGTAAGAGAGAATTGGAGCCCACTATCTGAGGTGTGAACTTAGCCTACTCATCTCAGGGCTGGAGTTCCTTCTGAAGCCTAAGGGCAGGTTAATGTTGGCAGATAGGGTGCTGAAACCATCGATGTTGGATGTGGGTACCAGCAGTGCAGCTGTTGTCGAGGGTTCGCTGGGGTCAGGAGCTAAAGCTACGTCTACACATCACACCACTTTTGGTCTAGCTGTGCAGTGCAGAGTGGACACGGTGTGCTTTTCACTGCGGTGAAAGTCTCTGGCAGAGGGCAGGCAGTGTGGAAAGGCTTCAGCTGCTCCCTGCTGCCAGAGCCTGTCACTGCAGGGAGGAAGTACTCTAGAAAGGGGGAGCAGTGGGGAAATGCTGAGCCTTTTCCCTTCTGCTGGTGCCTTTCTCCGCTGCAGGGAAGGGCTTCAGCAGCGGGGAGCTACTGGAGCCTTAGCATGCTACCTCCTTGCTGCTGGAGCCTTTCCCTGCAGTGTGGAAGGGCTCCGCAGTGGGACGCTGCAGTGTAGGTGGGAGGCACAGCTTGGGCCAGTAGAGAACATGTCTATGCTGCTATAGATACCCGTGCTGGAAGGCCTATGCACGTATGTATACTACACGCCGGCAAAAGAATACTGCAGTGTAGATGCATCCTAAGAGTTAAAGCCCCTTTCCGTCCCTATGTGTAAAGTCCTCTCTGCCCACAAGGAGCAGCAAAGAGGGGATACTTCCCCTCTCCAGTGTCAAAAGCTGTAACTGCTTCTTGGGTGCCAGAACTGTAAGCCACCTGCCATGACTTTTGGATGCCAAAACCTCCGGCTTTTCTGCTGACAAGGAAGTGAAGTGTCTGCAATACAAAAATCTGTAGCATGCTGACAATTGAAAATTTAGGTGTGGCATAAAATAAGTGACACTTAATATCCAGATGCATAATGCAAGTGCTAATGGACTGATTGTATCATTCAGTCCATTAAAAATCACTTCCGTTTATTGGTAGCTGCTGTGGAATTTCCAGGTGCCCTGAGAATTCAGCAATGGAGTGGAACAGAAACTGTGGGCGCCTTGCCACAAAATTAAAGTCCATCTTGCCAGCGTGTACACAAGGCCTTGAATATACAGCCCACAATTCAACTGAATTTGAGTTACCTTATGAAAAAGGAATGAATTATCGTATATACTCTTTCATAAGCCGATTTTTTTTTTTTTTTTTTAGTATAGAGACGGGTCGGCTTATGAACGGGTATAGAGAGGGAGAGGTGGGACACAGCCCCTCTCCCCAACAGAGGGAGCAAGGAGAGGCAGCAGAGCCAGAAGGGAAGAGGCGGGGCCAGAGTGTCTCCACTTCTGGCCACGCTGCTCTCCCCCCAGCCTCCGAAGCAGCTGCAGCTCCGGGGCTGGCCGGCTGCAGCCATGCCACTCGGCCCCGCCCACCAGAGCAGGCTGTGGCCGCGCCTCCCGGCCCGCCGGAGCACACTGCGGCCGAGCCGTCCGGCCCAGCCCGCTGGAACATGCTGCGGCTGCGCTACCCGGTCTGGCCCGCTGGAGCAGCTCCAGCCAGGTCAGAGACATCCTCCCCAGATAAGGTGGGAAGGGATGGGATAGGGAGAGTGTGGGGGTCCCAGGCTAGGGGTGGGGTTATGTGGGGTGTGGTCACAGGGGTTACTCCCTTGACTCCTAGCTTCTCCCCCCCCCCCCAAAAAAAAAGTTCCCCACCAGTTGCTGTCCTAGCCCATCAGGGTAAGCAGCTGGCACGCCGGGACACTTTGTTTACTTAGGTTTACCTCCGTGCCTGCAGATGCTCGAGGTAAACAAACCATCTCGGCCCGCCAGCGGCTTATCCTGATGGGCCGGGAGCCAAAGTTTGCTGACCCCTGAATTATAGGGTCGGCTTATGAACAGGTTATAAAAAATTTCAATTTTTACTTATCCATCTTGGGGGGGAGGGGGTCGGCTTATAAATGAACTGGCTTATGATCGAGTATATACGGTAATTGGAATTAATTTTCAATAGTCTCTCTTTTTTTTTTTTAATTGTCTGAAGCCCCTACCTACAGAATGCAACCTGTGACTCCTTTGGGGATTCTGTCCCTTGTTCTCAACATCATGTGTGGGGCTTTGAACCTCATTCGAGGAGTTCATCTAGCGGAGTATTCTTTTCAGGTAACCTTTTATTGACTTTTGAGTTGTAGTGTGGGGGCAGGGAGGGGAGGATTAGAGTTATACAAGTATCCGATCATCGGTGGTTATTGCACACCATAACTTTTCAAGTTATGCTTTGTTTATCCGGAGAGCTTGATTCAGATGAAGGAATATACTTAATGCACTCTGATCTGTCAGAGCCTGAATTTTTTGAGCTTCAGGGCATGTTGCAAAATCTTTTTTCCCTGGAGGGAGTGGAGTGATGTAGTTCATTTGAAAGGTGGAGGAGAATCTTACTTTTGACATCCTGGAAGGGTTTTATGTGGACATATTGTCCCACTTTAAAATGTCTGTTTTTGATAAATTGCATGTGTTTCTTCAGATGGTGCATTTTTATACCATTTAGAAAATGTATTGTGGAATCAGCATAAAGTACCTCTTTAAAAAAAGTCTAAATCATTTAGTGTTTTGCAATTTTTATTTTGTGGCATAAATTGATCCATACATCTCAATTTCCAGTATTTTGTTCAATGAATATTGATTTAACTCCAGTCTGACTTCGTAGTCTGAAATTATGATATTCTCATTCTACTGTGGTACTAAGTACTTCTATAGAATGTACCTATATAAAATGTCAAGCAGCACTTTGCATCAACTAAAACTCAGTAACTCTTAAAAAATTCTTCTTTATTATCTTCCACAAACAGGAAGACCACGAGGGAATTGGAAATGTAATAGCATTTCTCCTTTCTTTTCTAGCCTGCATTTTTCAGGTATGTTAAATTTAGCTATTGTGCTCTGGCACTCTTCCTGCATTTTTCATCTGCTGCGCTGCATCTAACAAACATTTGTTGAGTATGATCAATGAGCAGAATAGGAGACTCAGAAGCACATTGGCTGTTCACTGGGTGAAATTCTGCGTTTGGATGCATACATGACACAGGAGCAAAAATTGGCCATTGGGTAGATTCAGTCTACAAATGGAGCCTTCACATTTCTAACCCATTATGCATCTATTGACTAATCGCTCCTCTCAACCCCTCAGCTGTAGGTTTATCTATCCCCTTCATGGTACAGATATCTCAAGAACTATTCTGGTTTAAAGTAGCCCCCACATAAACCACTAGTTAAATGAAAACTCCCCAAAGCAGCAATAGATATGCTTTGTGCTATTACAGCATTGTAACTGTAGCGTTTTCTTTAACCGCTTGAAAGAGCGGAGTCATACAAACTTCAAAAGCCTTGAGCCATCATTTTAATTATATTAACTAGTTTTAAAACTCTTTCACACTTAAACATTTTCTAAAGCGAATCCTTAAGATACTGTAGCACAATCCTTGTTTTTCCATTGTTTCACTGCCATAATGTATAACGAGTCACCAGAATTGTTTGTGACTCTGAGACAAATCCAGGGCCTGCTAAGTTTTATTCCAACTCTGCCATTGACTCAGTGCAGCCTTGAATAAATCTCATAACTTCTCAGCCTTTGTCTTTCTATCTGTAAAATGACAATTACGCACTGTAGCGGGGCGCTGCAGGGCCCTCTTGGTTCCTGCCCCTGTTGTGCTGACAAAGTCACTCCGAGGCCCTGGGCTTCAGTAACCACTGGTGCCGTTAATTTACACGTTGTGCTCCCACCATCTTTTCACCATACACCGCTTGGGTTCTAGTGTCTGCGCCCAGGAGGGAAGAGCTATCGCTCTGCTTCCACTCCCTCGCTCCTCCCCCTGGCTTCCTTCCTCCCAGCCTTTTATATAGCCCCAGGATAATTGAGCGGGCAGCTGTCTCCCAATTAGTTGCAGGTTTTCTCTAGCCAGCTCCAATTTACGTCCCTTAATGGGGGCTGGCGTGACAGAGGGCTGAGTCAGCAGTTCTTGCCCAACACCCTGCCACATGCACATCTGTTTACTTTACAAAATAGCTTTTATGTCACCTACCTGTGTATTTGACCATTGTTCTTGCATTCAGAATCTCCTCTCTTTTTGCCAATAAACAATCCTGAGGTCATATATGAAGATCCTTTTGCATTGCAGTCATGTTGGATATTGCAATGGACTCCTAGTCAGTAGGCAAAAGGAATTGCTGATGTTAATGGTGTAACTTACGCATCAGGTGTGAGCAGTAAAGTAATGTAACTTACACTGATCTTGCATTTGATGGAGTGCAAAAATATGTTACTGCAATTTAATACTACCTGTGGACCAGTTCTGGCATAAACAGGCGCAACTCACACAAAGATTTGTAACTTACATTCTGCACGGCGGCGGCTCCAGGCACCAGCGCTCCAAGCCGCGGGGGGCGCCCTGCCGATCCCTGCGAGGGCGGCAGTCAGGCAGCCTTTGGTGGCTTGCCTGCGTGGGAGGTCCACCAGTCCCGCGGATTCGGTGGCAATTTGGCGGCGGGTACGTCGAAGGCGCGGGACCGGCGGACCTCCTGCAGGCATGCCACCGAATCCGCGGGACCGGGGACCTCCCGCAGGCATGCCGCCAAAGGCAGCCTGCCTGCCATGCTTGAGGCAGCAAAAAAGCTAGAGCCGCCCCTGGTTCTACACATCACTGCTGAACTTGGCTTAGAGACAAATCTCGGTGGGAGTTGGTCCTGTTTCCAGGCTGTTTTAGCATGAGCATGGCCCAATATCCAATCTACTACTTTAATAGCATGTGCAGCCCTCATCTCCTCATTCTTTTAAGGTAGCTACCAGATAATTATTTCTTCTTGCATTATTTCAAATGGTAACCGAAACCCCCTTTCTTCTCTGAGAGCTTTGCAAGAATTTGAGTCATCTTTTGTGCGGTATAGTGGAAGAACAAGCATTCAGACTTGGCATTCCTTAGAGCTTTGGCATATTCATTTTCTAAATTATGTTCTTGGTTTTCTGATTCACATGGACATAATGGATGAATTTTCATGTCTAAACAAGCCAACGTACAAATGAACAGCAGTCATCCTGATTTCAGGGTCATGTGGTGCTTGAATTGAGCTCAATTATTTGAGGAACTTGGACTTTGCATAACTGGGAAAATGGACTGAAAATGGGCAAAACTACGTGCTCCAATTTATTTAAAAATAAGTCTTGAAATTTTAAACTGTATCATCTGGATTGGCTGAAACCCTGTTTTAGGGGAAAAAAATTCAACATTGCTATTTAGTCTTGTCTTTGGACACTAACCTTCGTTGCTAAAATAGAGAAATTCTAGACTATAACAAATTAACATTTAAAATACTAAATGCTTTAAAAACCTTGCTGTTTGCCCAGCTCAGCCTTTCTTCAAATGAGGAGTTACTTTGGACACGCTCTCAAATCTACAGCGGAAAGAGCCAATATATTTATTGTGTATAAAATGCCATGTTGGTTTCTGCATAATCTAAGGTTTAATCAGAAGATCAAGTTGTGTTCTGTCACTACAGCCACTCAATTCCACTGACTTAAGTGAAATAGCACGAATATGAGGGCAGAATTTGACCCTTGTTAAATAGTAATTACAGGCTTGATACAGTGCATCTTTGCTATAAAGTGCCAAATGCAGCTCTGTGATAAATGAGTCTTGGCACAGAGATGACTGGTTTCCAAGAGGGGTGAAGTATTATTTCTTCCAGGAGCTGAGGTCTTGGATCTAGGCTTATGCATCATTGCCCTTTGAAAACCTGAGCAAATGTAAAATAGCAGAATTGCATCAAAGTTTTTATAATTGGAATAAAGATCAAGTTCTAAGTGTGTATGCAACTCCACTAATTTACGTTTTTGCAAGAGGTCTGAAGTATCACTTTCAGTATTTCTGTGTGGTGATTAATATGCTAGAAATATTTAGAAAACTATTTGCCATGTTAGGTTACCCTAGGCTGATAATGAAATGTACCTTTAATATCTGATTTGTTTTGTCCAATCACAGAATTTCAGAAACTTAGTATTCTGGGCTTAGTCCTTTATTGTACCACATGGCTTCTAGCTTGGCTTGATTCTCTGACTGTGATTGAAGTTTATTGCCCTTTAAATTCATTGGATTTTTCTGCCAAAATAAGGGGGGAGGCAGTTAAAGTGAAACAACTCCTCACTCTGGTACATGTGTAACCCATTTTTACCATGGTTCTCTGTCTACTCTAACGGCTGGACCACTTAGAGGTTTGGATCTGCTGCTGGCTTTGAGATAACAGGGCCTGGGTCTTTTAGCTCAGGCAGTAGAGTCTGATGCTTATAGATCCAGAGGTCCTACCCTTGGTCCTGACTGCTGGTGACCCACCCCGGGGTGGTACATATACATACAATAAGAGAAGTAATCATGTAGCTTATACTATTTTTTGGTGCCAGTATTTCATAGTAGAAACTTTGTATTTTTTGTGAAGACGTGATCTGCTCCTTAACTTGATGCCAGTCAGTTTCACCTTTTTACATAGAGTAGCTCCCTCTTGACTTTCCCAACTTCTCGCCTGATAGTGGAAAATGCTAACAAACATTGTGTTTTGGGCTCTTTGCCCTCTTAAATTATGGCAGGACAGCGTCCTGAAGTGACCCTGCATAATCATACTCAGTGCAAAGTGCTGCGTATTTAGCAATCCCACGTCTCACCAGCAAGGTTTGAAAGCAAGGGTCTCCAGCAGACTAAAGCGTGAGTCTTGACTGCTTGAGCTAAACAAGTAACTCCTCTAGCTGGCACGCATAATAGGCTCTTACCCTGTTATGTGGACCAACCACTATAGGAGGTCACTTAAAATACACTGAACCAGTGGACTGTACCTGCACTGGGAATTTTTTGGTTTGTTTTGTTTTGTTTAAATATTGCTCTGAGTCTCTTGTTAGAAACTATATCCTTTAATATTAAAGTGAATTCTGGGATAAAATCATTGTTAATTTAGCCCTTTATTTATGCCCAGAATAGTTACAGCAGAAGTGAGTATAGGTTTGCCTCATATCTCCCTGCCGTTGAGTTTCAGCCTTAACCTACAAGGCTCACTTCTGAGTCTAAAATGTAGTTTAGCTTTCATACTTGTTTAATTCTTGCCAATCCTTTCTAGACTACCAACAAGGGTGCCAATTGTGCTGGCGGGTTTCTTTTGTTGTGGATACGATACCTGTTCAGTAGGATCTGGATTGAGGCCACCAATTCACTTCTGTTGGATGGATGGTCTTATAATAGATAAGACTTGAAAAGAGCTTTAAGCTTCTTGTGTGCATTTTAGTGGCAGGTGCATCCCTAAATCATAGGTGCCAGTAATTGTAAGCTGTGATCCTTGTCTGTATGTATTCAGTTTGATGTTGCTAACATTGTTTCTCTGGTGCTATTCCAGTGTTATTTGTACTTGTTCCACGGTTCATCAAAGAAGATGAAGGCGTTTGTACTGTTTTTCTCCATTTGTCTATGCAACATTTACTTGTATGGATTAAGGAACATCTGGCAAATACTCTTTCACATAGGAGTGGCTTCTCTTTCTTCATATCAGATACTGACAAGGCAACTGATGGAGAAACAGCCAGATTTTGGAGTATGAAAACACACGTGGGATTCATCACTCATATTTTAAAAACTCTTGTATTTGCTTACACTGGCCAAAAATACTTTGGGGAATATTTTAAAAATGCACAACGATGGTTATCACGAGAGAGATTTTGAAACGAAACAACTCGAAATAAACTGTGCTCTTATAATTAGTGTCAAATAGACATGCAGGGGATTAGTTGTAGGTCAACTGTGCATTGAAGACTATTTGCAAGCATTCGTAATGGAGGTTCTCACGGCCATTGAGAATCTTCAGTACTCAATCTTTTCAGTGTACTCCTTGACTAACACCAAACAGTCAATCTCTCTTCATTTGTCTCATTTGCTTTGCAACAGTTCACTATTTTCAGTGTGTTGCCCTGGGAGTTTGACAGAAAACATTGAAATTGTACGTTAAAACCAAGACTGATTAAAATTGGGGATAATAATGCTTAGCACTTTCATCTATAGATCTCAAGTTGCTTGACAGATGTAAGCTAAGGAGGCGTTTGTCATAATTAGTCAGTAATTGGTGGGGAAAAAATGCTTTTAGTGTGATCTTCAGGGTAATCTTATTAAGGTGAAATAGAATTATAGGGGTCTGAAGAAAAGAAAAGGGCAGGGGCCCTTTTTAAAAACCATAAAGGATGTAAAATGTCTCTTGAGTAAACTGTACATCTTAAATGATGGTACGGTGTGAGCTCATTGGGAAATTGTCAGTAAGTTTGAAGCTGCATAAAACAAACCAAGAAAACACATAACTGACCTTTCAGCCCAACTGGCCTTTATTTCCTTGTTGAAGGTCACATTGTTTGAAAGGGTAATAATATGTTTGTTTGGTTTATACAGATAAATAAGCTTGGAAGATGTATTTTGTGACAACACAATGAGTTTTTCCACCTTTCAAAAGATACATTATTAGCGATTAGCAATCCATTCCCCACCCTGGAAAGCAAGAGCAGGTTCTCTTTATTTTACATTTAAGCTCTCATGCTACGGTTAATTTATGAGCATGCACTTTTGAATATAGTCATTAGGAGCTGAATTTGTCCACCTCTGCTGCAGTGTATATTCTGGTATTTAATGTGCTGAAGTAGACATATACATTTTAAATGTCAGTAAACACTTTTTTGATACTTTTTTGGTAAGTTGTCTCTGTATAGAGAATGTCCTAATGTTTTGATGCAGCTATCTTTTGGAGGGTTAGTGGAGAATCATGAAACTGAGAAATTACAGGAAGCTTGTAGGTGTAATATTGTGGAGGTACCTTCTTAATTTTTTCTCACTTAACTGTTTTATGGTAGCCCCATGTATTATGTAGAATTTCATCCCCTTGCTGAGGAATTGTTCTTTCACTTAATGTCTCTACGTTTCATGGTTGCAAAGAGATTAAATTGATGGAGAGTTACCTTCCTGACTCTGTAGGCAGCTTAAATGTTAGTCAATATTATCTATTTCACTACTGACTATTATAGCAGAAACATCCAGCTAATATTTTAAACCACAGTCCCACACATTGTGTGCTAAAAGCCCTAACAACTGACTATCCAGCTGCTGAAACCTCCAGCTTCCTCTGACAACTTGTGCAATGCAACTCTGTGCAGCCAATGCATAAATCCGTGCATAAAGATTTAAGTGACTGGATATTGCATTGATGTCTGCTGTTCTCAGTAGTACAGCCTTTACTGTACCTAGTCCAATGCACTGCTACAGAGAAATAGAAGGATCATTTGCTGTGTTTTTGGGACATGGAAAGGCACTGTGTTGTAAAGGAAACAGCTGAAATTCCAGGAGTAAATAAACTTTTTAAAAAGGGGAAAATATATAAGAAGGAAAGGGATAAAATGAAACATCAGAAACAGTGGTGAGGAGAAACCTAGAGACCAGTGGAAACTTTAGCTTGATAGGAGACAGTAAATTGGATGTGAAATTGCAAGATGATATGACAGCCAAAAAGGCCCTATAATTGTAGGCTGCATGGGGTGAGGCATGTCTCAGAGCAGGGAAGGGTCATAATACTTCATACAGCTCGGATGCAAGCACTCAAAGAATTATTTCATTCAGTTCCAGATATCCGTACCAAAGACAGACACACTGAAGGATGTCCACAGAGGACTGTCCAGATATTGATATTTGAAGAGAGAAGGGAAAGTCACTGCTTAGCATAGTAACGAAAGGGGTCGACCTTTCTTGATGTTTGTCCTTCAGATATCGGGTCAGATGAGAGAGAAGTTAGGGCACAAGAAGGCATAACTAAGGCTAATAGAATGAAACTGAGGAAAAGGAACATTTAGGTTGACTTTAGCAAAGTTTTTGATACAGACTTCCACAGTATTCTTGCCAGCAAGTTAAACTAGTATGGGCTGGATGAATGGACTATAAGGTGGATAGAAAGCTGGCTAGATTGTCGGGCTCAGCGGGTAGTAGTCAATGGCTCCATGTCTAGTTGGCAGCTGGTATCAAGCGGAGTGCCCCAAGGGTAGGTCCTGGGGCCGGTTTTGTTCAATATCTTCATTAATGATCTGGAGGATGGTGTGGATTGCACCCTCAGCAAGTTTGCAGATGACACTAAACTGGGAGGAGTGGTAAATATGCTGGAGGGTAGGGATAGGATACAGAGGGACCTAGACAAATTAGAGGATTGGGCCAAAAGAAATCTGATGAGGTTCAACAAGGACAAGTGCAGAGTCCTGCATTTAGGACGGAAGAATCCCATGCACTGCTACAGACTAGGGTCCGAGTGGCTAGGCAGCAGTTCTGCAGGAAAGGACCTAGAGGTTACAGTGGACGAGAAGCTGGATTTGAGTCAACGATGTGCTCTTGTTGCCAAGAAGGCTAACAGCATTTTGGGCTGTATAAGTAGGGGCATTTCCAGCAGATCGAGGGACATGATCATTCCCCTCTATTCGACATTGGTGAGGTCTCATCTGGAGTACTGTGTCCAGTTTTGGGCCCCACACTACAAAAAGGATTTGGGAAAAGTTGGAAAGAGTCCAGCGGAGGGCAACAAAAATGATTAGGGGGCTGGAGCACATGACTTATGAGGAGAGGCTGAGGGAACTGGGATTGTTTAGTCTGCAGAAGAGAAGAATGAGGGGGGATTTGATAGCTGCTTTCAACTACCTGAAGGGGGCGGGTTCCAAAGAGGATGGATCTAGACTGTTCTCAATGGTAGCAGATGACAGAACAAGGAGTAATGGTCTCAAGTTGCAGTGGGGAAGGTTTAGGTTGGATATTAGGAAAAACTTTTTCACTAGGAGCATGGTGAAGCACTGGAATGGGTTCCCTAGGGAGCTGGTGGAATCTCCTTCCTTAGAGGGTTTTTAAGGCCCGGCTTAACAAAGCCCTGGTTGGGATGATTTAGTTGGGGATTGGTCCTGCTTTGAGCAGGGGGTTGGACTAGATGACCTCCTGATATTCTATGAAAACTGCTTGATACTAAGATCTATTAAACTGTGTGGAATTGGCTAAGGCAGCAGGTCCCAGACTTCATGATTAAAATAACACTTGGGCCTGGTCAAAACCGGGGAGGGGGGATGGATCTAAGATACGCAACTTCAGCTACGAGAATAGCATAGCTGAAGTCAACGTATCTTATATCGACTTAGAATCACTTACTTTGCGTCCTCGCGGCGCGGGATCGACAGCCGCCACGCCCCTGTCGACTTTGTTTCTGCCTCTCCCCGAACTGGAGTTCGGCAGTCGATGGGAGAGCGATCGGGGATCGATTTATCTTGTCTACACTACATGTGATAAATCGATCCCCGATGGATCGATTGCTACCCGCCGATCCGGCAGGTAGTGTAGACATACCCTTGCCTAAAAATTTGATGTTTGAAGTACCACTTGCAAATTTTTCCTTTTTTATTTTAATATTTCTGAACTCGTAAAATAAATGCCCAAGGAAGCCTAAAATTATAACCTCCTTTTTAAACATTTCAAGTTTTTTATCAGTGAATTAAAAAGCACAATGAAACAGCAATTGCTGGTCTTTTTTGTATTACTCAAATGACAAGAAACAATTAAATGTCAAGTGACATGTTGATGTAGCTCTGTATGCTGCTAAGCTATGTCAAGGCCTGACTTTTTCATATATCAATTCAAAGTTCCTCCTCATTCTTATCTGGACTATTGTTGAACATGAGCCAAAGTTCTTTACTTACATTTTGACAATATTTAAAATAAGAGCTAATCAAAATGTTTTGCATTTTCTCTGATAAAAATATAAAAGTACCATTAATGAGAAGGGTGTTCTTGCTTCACAGATCACGGTTGCTTTGTGTCAGGTAAAATTTTGCTGAGCTTCAGCTGAAGGGCTGGTCCTGCAGACCTAAGTTTCATCTTGTACTTTTTTTTTTTTTAATGGTGATCAAGGCAGAAATCCAGTTCTGTCAGGGAAACCTTTCTTAACAATCAGCCTAGTAGCACTTGTTCTGTTCATGTGAACGGAGGTCTTATTGGAAAATAAGCCACGAAGATGACTAAGAGTAAACTTTTTTTTAATCATCTGTTTGCTAAATTTCCATACTAAGCTCTGCCTTGCTGAGGTTACGGGACATGGTGCTCATACCTCTGGCTAGTCTACTAGGCACTCTTAACCAGGTGGCAGCGCATTGACTTAAATAGGGAAGGCTGTTTCTGTCAGGAAAAGGGGTAGGAGTTTTACTTTGTACATGGACAAAACATTGTGGGGAGTAACCTTAATGACAGGATCTGATTTCTACGTCTCCCATGGACCCTGATCCTGGTAGTGTTGTACTTGTCTCCACTAAACGTATTTGAATAAAGCTAGTCTTGCATAGACTTAGACATCTAGAACACTTAAGTACATCAACAGTACTGTTTGGAGATGTGAATTCCAGCGCAAGGAGGACATACCCGCATTAGCTCTCATTCAGCTGGCATGCGTAGCCCCGGTGTTACAAATGATGGGAGGGCTAGCTGCCTTGAGTACATCCCATCCAAGACGCTGGGTTTAAGCATAATGAAATGAATCACTGGATTGACCTACTGGAAGGATCATCCAACCCAAGAATCTTTAGGAAAGCAATACAGCAAAATCTCTCAATACAATGTCTGCTTGTCCCGTTGGATCCTATGTCTGGTGAATGGACAAACACCCGGTAGAGATTTGTTACAAAGGAAGTAGGATTGGCAGAGAACCATTCACAGAGAGATTTGGTTCTATAATGTGGGTAAGCCTGCCTACAAAATCCATGTTAGGGAACATACATTTAGCAATGTCCATTAATATCTGAACACTTCTTCCAGCTTGGGTTGTGATTCAAAGACCAAGGAGAGTTCAAGTTAAGCATTGACTGTCCTAATTTTTTTTTTCTGTAAATGTTTACACTGGTTTCTTGGTATGTTAATTCTGTGCACAGTGTGTGTATAATATGTTTAAACTTTCTTTTGCTAAAACAGGAAAAGAGATAACATAGTTTACACTTATACGAGTCCTTCAGGATTTAATAAAACAAGCGTTTTACTGTTTGAGAACAGAAAATCTGGATCAGAACATGAGGATTGTGCTTGTATTGAATCAAATCTTTAAAAAGAATCAATTTTTTGTCAGATCCTTAGATCATTTAAAATTGTTTATCCACTTCGTGTGAAAATTGAAAGTGAGAATTAAGTCCTTTGGAAACTCTGTTCATCTAGAAATATAACACAAGAAAACAGGCCAAGAGTAAACCTTCCTTACAGTTAAAATATTTATAGTGCTTTGCCAACTTATGAAATATCGACCCATTCTCCCCCTGCCTTTTTAACCAAAGATCTGTTAAGGTTTCTTGAAAGGCTGGCTGGTACCTTTTTAAAAAAAACTTTTGCACTGCATTAACAATTGAACCTGTGTATATGTATGTAAAGTCATTTTTTGCACGTGTGTGTGTGTATATATGTACATATCTAATATGATTAGCGTAAAAAATAAATGACTTTTTATAATGGCTGTGTTCATTTATATCTTCAGAAATTAGTGAAACACATGAATCAGGATAAACAAGCTTTTTATCAATGTTGCATCATAAAATATAAATATACATACCAAACTCTTGACATATTTTCCAGCCTTCAGTATGTATATCTCGAGAATAACTTGAAGAGAGAAGTTGAGCTTATTTAACAAATACAT